GCAGAAAGTATGTCAATCGATTCGAGCTTGATGCTTCGAGCACGTATACGGAATAGCTGCATCGTCAGTGCCTGAAGAAAGTTGCCTTGGATCATGCCGACGTACATGAACAAATATTCATCTCGCGCATGATCGAGAACCTGTTCACCGTCAATATCGATCCTTTGGAAAGTAATATAGCCAGAGATGATAAGCTATAGCCGGTTGTTCATGGGGTCAGGGCAGTCAGTGCCTGCGAGAAATCTCCTGTTGCAGTCCCAATGGGGCTGTATCACACCCCCGTAAGACCAACCGGGAGAAATCAAGTGCTAACCCCAATGCGAATGCACTCTGGGGAGACTGCAATGGAGATGAGGCGGTCCAGTCGGGCGTTAACCGTTGTTTTGCGCTTGGCATGCATAGACATGCATGCGATTTGAGGTTGCAAAGCAGTGAGAACCAATAGAAAAGCTCATTACCTTACTCAACGAGTTGCTCAAAAGCGATATGAGGCTTGTAATCAACAAGATGTTTGTCAAAGTGACGAAAACAAGCTAGTGTGTGATCAGCAGGCCGCGATGCGATGCATTCCAAATAGTCAGACTCGTACCATTACAGGAGGTCCGAAGAACGGCGAGCTATGCAGGCATTAGCAAGCCATTGGCACTGTTGATCGAAGGAGTGCATACATCTCTTCGGCGACATCTGCAGGCAGCTATCGTCAGTACTGGTGGACAAGAATCGGTGTATGCCTTCGCTTGGCCGTTGCCTGAGGCTTGACTCACCGAAACCTAGGTAGCTAGAGCTGAGAAGGCATTAGCTGGTATAGCGACAGTAGCGTGATGTTCAGCATTACCCGAAGAAGACCTTGATCAGGATCCAACTCTACGTTGCATGAGTCAGCAGTTGGCACGTCGGTGACCCCGATAGACAACTTGCCATCTGTTTCGCATTGAATCTACTATCTCTAGCCAGCAGTACGAAAGTGGTTAGAAACCCTTTATATCGGTGAGCATTGGCTGCAGCTACTAAAGCATCGGACGCCTTACCCAGGTACAGGATGACTACCAGTGACAGGAATTTGATGAAGTCCTTGGTCATTTCTTTGAGACACGGAATCAGGGTGCCAAAATATCGATTGAGACTCAAGAGAGAGAAGATACGCGGCACGAGGAAGAGAGCCTCTAGTCCGAGTACGTCATAGGCAAGATCGATGGTGGTAGCGTTGGCTGTAGTCAGACCAACAATCCTCATAATGCAGAAGACAAAGCCCACGACGACGATACTGATGTCCCAGGTCCACCTAAAAACGTTAGCTTCCACCAACTCGGTGATGAGAACGCATGCCTACCAAAAGTCCGAGGCATAGAACGAGCTTTGCCCTGCGTCTAACCAATCCGAAAATTCATCGTACGCGAAGCTGGCAATCCACACGTAGAGCAGTATCTCGGGAATGGTTACTCTGGCGTTGTTTCGCTGCACTAGAACTGCATAGTACAGCCCTAAAAATGCCGCAAAAAAGAGTGTCTCGAAAATCTTCAAGTACAATGGAACGCGTAGCCGGGAGAAGGGATCGGCCTGCTTTCGGTTGTACTTTTTGGGCTTCTTCTCTGAGTGTAGACTGAGGGTCTCCCAGAATACGATGTCGCCTTTCCACAAGCCATTTATGATCTTCTGGACTGGTCTCTGAGACAGGAACTTCTTCGCACCAGATACAGTCGCAAGCTCCAATGCACTGAGATTCTCGCATTGTGACATCAGCGATCCGAAGCGAGATCTGGGAGAGTCGCCGTGGCCGAAGTAATCGGTGTTGGATACGGGAAGCAAAGGCGACCGCTCGTCGGCATGTGTGGTGTCGCGTTCGTTCTCGCCCGAGTGGTAGCCGTTCGGTGGGTTGGAGGTGATCGGCGTCGTTGCCGGCGGGAGTTCTACTAGCAGAGACTCGATGATGTCGGCTTCTTTCAGGTTCGTCAAGAATTGCCAGGCTACGAATTCGCATGCATAGCCTCGCGCTTCGTTCACACCAGGCTCGTCGCTGGTTTCCTCCAAGGCAGAGAAATGTCCCTTCAGGGCTCTTCAATATGGTCAGCGCTCTCCACTCATACATGCAATCATCTGGTATTGATGGAAGCGACCTGGGCTGCCTCGACATACAGTAGAGCGGATACGAGGGCAGGGTGGTCGACTTGGGTGGACAGGTATGCGATGAGAGGCTGGACTGCCCGGCCCTCCTGCGATCGACGCAAATCTTCGAAGGTATGTGGCAGCTTGATCTTATGCTCAAAGAACCTACTCTCGCGTTAGGCTACTGGGCAATTGCGCATGCACATGCATTGACTGACTGGCACAGTTTGTCCACCAGGTCTCCGAAGCACTCGTCGCCGGCTATCTCTGGCACGCCCGTCTCGTCTGCAGGCCATCTCGGTGTGGACGGTATCGACATGGTGGGTTCTTATGATAGCTTGCGATTGCCCTGTGCCACTTCCTCCAGTTTTCGCAACATAGAAAGATTCGCGACGCGTTAGGCGCATGGACCTCGGGACCCGCGTCGTCATGGCTCTCTTGGCAGCCACCATCTGTCTCCGCGACTGCAACCTTAGACTTCACTGCAGCATACAGCATGCTCTGAAGCTTTCGTGTGCACGACATGCGACTTTGATCACACATCCTTTCCCTCGTACTAACTCACATGCGAACCGCCGTCTCAGGCAACATGGCGCACGATGCTAATTTCGTCGGCAATCGTCTACGGCTGAGCGCCTTTCTTTCATGTGTGAGAGGGATGCCAGACCGTCCGTCACGTTTCAGACCGCCTATCCAAGATCTGGACGTGGCAGACTCCGCTGCCCCGTTTTCCGGATTACATCGCGATGTGTCAGTCAGGGAACCGGGCAGGGAGCCAGCAATTTTGCCCTCAGAATCGTCTGCGGAGGCAGAAGTCATCAGAACCAACTTGTGTCAGGAAGCTGCAACTACCGACAGGCTGCTGGATACCAACATCGAAGAAGATCGATCTGTCTTGGATGGTCTCACGAATGCGCCATCTGTATACGACATCCCACGTTCACCACCACCTGACCTCCGTCTAGCCTCTGGTAGCGGCAGCAGACAAGGACTTCTCAACGGGCTTTCGAGCACTCGGAAACGGCGTCTACCAGCACATGAGCTCGCTTTGCTGCGGACTACTACACTGGATGGACTGCCTCTACCGGGTGTAAGGAGCTTCCACGGATTTCATCGTGGGCAGCTAACGCTGTTGACTTTAGGATGTTACTCTCGACGTCGCTGCTCCCATTGCGGTCGTGGACCCTATCGAAGATAGCCAAATACATCTTACGAATACGTTGCACATCTCCGTATGTCAACAATAGTCAACGCTGACACTGCTGACCTTCACGCAGACTTCAGGCGGCGTCATCATCACGAAGAGTAGGCTGATACCGAAGACAACACAACCGCCAGACTCTGTCGGCCCTCCCAAGACCGAACCAATGGCAACGCGCACAGAGCCCCTGGAGAGACCCACACAACTACCTACTAACATGCAGCGATATTGTCCACACCTTCGAGATGCTTTCGACGGGTTTGTTGGTTCCGAGCTAAAGCTCGTTCCCAGAAAAAGTGTCAACCGCCAAAGGATCGCCAATCCGACCAAGAGACAGAAGCCTGGTATCAAGCGCGAACTAGTTCTACGAGCTGGATCACCACCTTTTTCGGCGGGTTGGGCTACGACTACCATAAATGCTTTAGTTGTGGGCAAAACATCTATGATCGTTGATGCGAACACTTCGTCAGGACTTGAAAACACCCAAGCCCACGGAGGACTCGGACAACTGACATTGACGAGATGCCGGAACGTTCTAGAGGCTGGCACAGATGATGGACATGCCCCTGAACTGGGCGATGAGACACTATACGAGAAAGCTCGATAAGAAGATCATGACAACGATTTTACTGCTGAGACTGGTCACTACTAGCTCAACCGAGTACCCACATCTTGAGACAAGATCAGCCGATTTTGATGTTCAACACACCTGGACGGTCAAAGCGAGACGGAGAGTGACGGCAAGATTGCCAGCCCTTATTGACGACGTTGACGATTCATATTACGCAGATCAAGACGGCGGGGGACCCTTGGAGATCAGCAATGGGGTTGGAGAGTATAGAGTGATATGTACTGGGACGTCCAACACCTCCTGGGTATTCGGTAGACTCAGCTCTTGCATGCGTAACAGCGTTCGATCACAGATGTCAGGCCTTCGAACCTGCACAGACTTCAAATTGCGAGCCGGGGAACGATGCGAAATATACCACCATAGGCAGTGTCAGCTATAGCATACAGTCCAGGTATTTGTGGGGCTTCTTGAAACGCCTCGGTTCCTTAGTAGTAGCAATGTTCATGGATGCGGACTATGATGCACGGCATACGTTCGCAGTCTCGGTGAATAACTGAGCTAGAGATGGACAGGATGAATGAAATACATTTTAAGTCGCAAGCCGTTTGGTCCGTCGCAACATCGGCCTGATCGGGCTGTTTTGCAGCTGAGGTAAGACGTCGCTTTATTCGAGCATGTAAGCCAGCTACCGACGTCTGTGTGAGATCGATGACTTTAGCACTGCAGATTGGGGTCATCGAACATTGACATTCGATGTACAGGGCTCCCGTGGTCAGAACGTGGTATTGGTTCTTGACGTTGTTCTAGCGGCAGTCCCGAAATAGCGATCGGTGTCTCGGTTTCGCGATTCAGACACTAACATCAAACACCACACTACTGTTTGGACGCATGGACAAAACATAGCACAAGTGTTCTGCAGGCGTGTCGACACAAGTGGAGTGATGACTTGAATGGTGCGGCGCAACATATATGGTGGGCTTGCGCCTCGCTGCGCGAAGCTCCCCGTATCGCTTCGACGTCCTGGTACTCCGACTATTGACTAGTCTCGACTCTCATCTCCAACGCATCGCCTGTCGCCGGCGTAAATCAGGTCCGAAGATTCGAATAAACGCAATCAGCGATACCATGGCATCACAAGGCGGCATGCCACCCTCTATGGTAAGTGTACCCCACCTATAGGCTTGTCTGAAAGGCCTGGAACTTGGAGAGAGACAAAGTCGCTGACGTTGAAAAGGCATCACAAGGGCCACCGTATGCTCCCATGGCATGGCCTCTGGGTGGAAATTCAGTGAAACGCATCGATATTCCTGCCCAAACTGTCTTCATGTTCTTCTTCATGGTCGGAGCAGCAGTACACATGAAGATATTCCAAAGGAACAGAGCACGAGGTCATAAGTTCTTACCAAACCTCTTCATTTTCCGTATGTATAGTCACAGTCTGGATGGAATGCATACTAACTATTCCGAAGTCTTTTGCATGGAGCGCGTATTGACATCAATCTTGCGACTCGCATCGGTCTCTAATCCAACCAAGATTCCACTTGCAATTGCTGCACAGATCTTCATCGCAGCAGGTGTTCTTATACTGTTCGTCATCAATCTCGTTTTCGCGATGCGCCTAGTAAGGTCGACACATCCGTCGGTGGGTTGGCATTCTGCGTTTGGCATCGTGTTCAAAGCTCTTTACGCGTTGATCGGCTTGACACTTATCGCTGTCATTACAGCTACAGTTCAGAGCTTCTATACTCTCAACGTAGGGACTCGAGCGACCGACCGCGGCTTCCAGCAATACGGCGCAACCTTCCTGGCCATTGTCGCTACACTACCTTTGCCGATGACGATGCTCACGCTTCTCATTCCCTATTCGCCGCTCGATCATTTCGGTATGGGCCGTCTTCGTACAAAAGTCATAGTCCTGATGATTAGCACCACACTCCTCTCTATTGGCGCATGGTATCGCTGTGGTGTTGCCTTACAGACACCGGTCCCGAGATCACAACCTCTACCAGGCTATCTCGGCAAGGCACCGTTCTACATCTTCAACTTCCTGGTAGAGATCCAGACGGTACTCATGTACGCCATACTTCGCGTAGACCTCCGCTGGCATATTCCCAATGACGCAAAGGGGCCTGGCAGCTACGCTAGACCACAGATGGGCGATGTGGAAATGCAAGACTCGCGACCTACTTCCTCGGACAGCGTACAAGATGACAACAAGTCCACCAGATCTTTCAGTGAAGACGAAGAAAAAGAGTTAGAGAACGAGAAGGTTGAAGAGCTTCCTGCCCCCAGGATCATAGAGATAGATCTCGGAAACTCTTCGCGCAGCTCCCTGGCGCCACCAGACATGGACTTGAACAGGAACTCGGCCCGCAGTTCTCTGGCACCACCAAAAACGGCAGATAGATCAGCGCGCAGTTCCATCATCTCCCAACGCCTATCCTCCTTCATCAGCAAGTCCACCAGCACACTAGCTACCTTTGCGACCGCGGAGCAAAAGCAACGATGGCGGGAGAGCGAGGAAGCGAGAATCGTCCGAAGACTGGGAGGGCCATGGCAGCAACTCCCTAGCCCGGTTGAATCAAATTTCAGCATGAGCAAGAGCCCGACGAGGAGCGTCTTCAGCCGTACGACAGGAGGAGATGGACCGGAGGCGCCTGAACCAGCATACCACCAACGAAGCGACAGCGGTGCGCCTAGTATACCCGACGTCGTTGCGGAGGGCGGCTGGACACCGAGGATTGACTGGGAATTCCGCAGCCCGAGACGCTTCCTCAGTTTGAAGAAGAGGAGTATGATCGGTTTGCAGCTTCCGAAGTGAGCGCCAGGACTTGAAGCGGATTGATGCGATATTTTTTACAGCGAAGGCGTTTGTGGGGATGGGAAAGGTACTAATACACTGCTGGGCGGCAAAAGCTTTTTCTGGTGTTCATCATACCCATCTGCTTTTTGCGCGTATATTGGAAGTTTATACAAGCTTTATGGCCTTTTACTTTTTTCATGTGGCATGTACAATAGCAGTCATTGCATTCTTTTTATCGATACATGAACACTTGCCGTGCGCAATATCATTCACATTACGTCCAAATCCATCCTACCCACAGACTCATCGCTATACATCGTCACTTCATTCCTACATCAATAGCAATATCTCACGCGGTAGACCCTGACCCAAACTCACGAATAAATTTAGTCTGGCGGCTCCCCTCCCAGCAACCCGGTCCCTGTACCTGAATCCCCAATCCAAAACAAATCAATAGTGCGAAACGAACATGAAGTTGCCTCAGGGAACGTTGGGTCTGCTGTCACCTGTTTCGAGGCGTGAACTAGGGGCCGCGCTAGTGTGTTAGCCCGTGTATGTGGATCGATTTATGGGTTGTTGAACTTCGTTTGCATCGTTGTGTGTTTTGTCTTGGGGTCTGAAGGCCTGAGGACGCAGAAGTTTAAAGGGTTCTTTGGGATGTTAGTGCATCGCGCAGTGGTGGTTGGCAAGGCCAATGAGAAAAGTGTCATAAGATTGCAGGTACTCATCCAGCCGTTATTACTTGAACGCCCTGTGCCTTCGCCTTCGCCCGCTCGCCACCCATCGCAATCCAACGTAGTGGCCTACATGGGAATCCGTCTCATCTCATCCAAACTCCAATACTTCCTCATATTCTCGGCTTCCAACTGCTTGACCTCATCATCCAGATGCTGCCATAAAACTTCGCCAAACGAATCGAAAAACTCCTTCAACTCTCCCAAACGCAACTCCCGCTCTCCGCCTTCACACTCTTCGAGGTACTTTTCTAGCTTATCGAGACCCTTGTGGATCTGCTTGTGCTGGGTGAGAAGCTCGAGTTCTTTCTTGAAGGCAGGCATCTTCTTGGCCAGGACGGGGAAGATGTGCTGCTCTTCTATTGTGTGGTGCACTGTGAGGTGATCTATATGGGAATGGTTAGATGATGATACTTTTTGGCTGAGTTGCAGGAGAAACTAACGGCAGAATTGCTGGCCCATGCTAATGAATTGGCGGATGGACATGTTCTTGGGCCTCTTCTGTGCTTCACACGCTCCGTATAGAACTTTCCACGTCGCTCTGAAGTTATCGTGGAAATAGTTCATGTGCTCCGCCATTCTGTTATACTGGCGAAACTCGGATGCGGAGAGTTTGGGTAGAGGCTTTTCCTCATTGGTCGCGGGGGTGGAGTTTGGGTCATTGACTACAGGAGGGGCAGGTGCAGTAGGACCGTCATCTCCTGAAATGGTTGCCATGTTTGCGGGGCGTATAGATTGCTGCACTCTGGGGCTGACAGTAGAGTACTGCTTTCCAAACGATGTCAGAGCAAGTCGAGGTGGGGCTCTGAGAATGGATGCGATAGATTGAACACGCTTCATACGCTGGAGAGGAAAACAACAATGTCACTCGAAGACGATGTAAAGATATAGTTTGGGGTCCCTATGTTTTGCGTGGCACAGCCTTGCATGCTTGGGGAGTGATTACCCATCTAGCCACTGGCGGCTTGTGAAATTTGCATTAGCAAGCGGCCGGCAGTTGCACTTCCCGATCCCGGTAAGACGCGTTGATAACGCGCCGGATCACGTGACTGCGCTATCACCAACGCGACCATGCTCACTTCTTTCTCGTTTTGGCAAACTTCTCGTGCCACTTGCGCGCTGACGGCTTCATGGCTGCTACTGAGCTGTCTCCACCTGCAGTTGTGGCGACCTTGCTCTTCGCCCGTATCGTTGTATCGGATGGGAAGTCGTAGATGCCTTCGATGGCACCGAGTTGCGCGTCCTTACGCCATACTTCGGGCAGGCGGTCCTCCCACGTGTCGGTGAAGTCGGCGATGAGGAAGTCTGCGCCGCGTTTGGCTTCCAGCAATGTCCTGCCAGTAAATGCGACCGTCTTTTCCCGATCCAGACACGACCACGGTCCATTCTTGTCGTTGTCTGCTGTGGATAGGTATGCCAGTATGGCCTCTACAAGGCCTGGCGGATGCCCTTCTTCAGCTGCGGCTTTGGTGATGTCGTCGGTCAAGAACTGCGCTTGTAGTTTGATGCCCTCGGCCAGTGCAGCGGCGTTGATGGACCTCCATACTTGTGAGAGGGCGTTCGGCGAAGGCTGGTATGATCCTCCATCCGCCTCGAATGCCATCAGCTCGTTCCATCCGACCTGGCATTCCCCATCCGACAAGGGCATATCGCCGAACATGCTCGCCTTGCTCCTGCCATTGCTGGTCGCGTCGACGTCCCCTGCAACAATGTCGTATACCGGCAGTGCCTCTCTCAGTAGGGCGGTGGCAGACGCGGTGGATGCATGGGCTTCGAGCGTCGCGGTGCACAGCGCAATGGCGCGCGTGGCAGGGGTGAGTATCTCGTTGCCATGGGCCTCGAGCGCGGGCTGGGCTATGTAGAGCGAGTTGGAGGTTTGGACCTGGCGCAGCTGGAAGGTCTTGCTCGGCGTACAAAGTACTGCATATGCAGGCTTCGCGTTGGACGTGCCAGAAGCGGCAGACTGGAATTGGGATTTGATGGAGAGCCTAGCGCGTATGATGAGAAGGGTGTCCGTGTGGAAACGACAGGTCAGCGCACCTACAGCGGCGGGTTGGGCGCGTCTATCAGCTCAACAATCTCGGGGGGCAGCTCGAGCAGGCGGAAGTGCTGCTGCTGGTGGGCAATGGAGAAGGGCACACCGCCTTCATCTTGCTGCGTAGCCATGTCTTGACTCAACACACACAACGTCCAATCTGCGCTGCTGACAGTCTCAAAGTCTGTTGTACCTCATCTCATCGCGGCAGCTGCTATGACGACGGTGCTTTTTTGTTTGTGGACACTGCGGGGTGCGGCGATGTGCAGCTAGCAGAGAGACGGATCGGACGATACGCTGCAAGGGCATCATTTGCAGGCCAAAAATACTTGTCACTGCGGCCGCTTGCTGGGAACCCCATGCTCGGGCGTGTCGCACCTGTGGCACCTTGGTTATTCGCGCTGCAGCTTCCCACCCGCGCTTGGTCGCAGCCGCATGACCGCTTTCTTGGTTCGGGCTTCAACAAGATCCATGGGATTTGTTGTTGTTTAGTCCCGGGACGCGCCTCCACTGTCCCTTCTCTACCCCAATGGCTTCCTAGCACCACCGACTCGGACGACAACAACACCGCCTGCCCCTCTGCCGCTGCGCCCAGCCATGCACCCACCGTCCTAATTGCCTCTTCACTGTCTGACTGCTGCCCGCCGTCGCCGTCACTCGTTTCTGCGCAATTGGCACCATGGTCGTCATCAACCCCGAGCCCGCGGCCCTGTCCGCTGAGGACCTGTCGCTCTTCTACACGACTGACGAGCTGCTGTCCAATTCCCCCGTGCTCATCTTCTACGGTCCGACGGCCACTTCCACGCAGGCGACACACTCGCGCATCCAGGCCCACGTCTTCACCCCGGCCGGCTTCCAGAACTTCGCCCGCCTGATTATTTCGCCCACAGCCACATACTACAATGCCGTCACATGTCTGCCGCGCGAGGAGCAGGGCGACGAGATATGTCGCGGTCTCGCCTTCAGTCTGTACAAGTACTTCCTCGAGCTGCCGCCGGAGATCAAGAGCGCCTGGGAGAGGCGGTATGATTCCTCCGCCAACCTGCCCATGGCCCCCAGGCTGTTCTCCGAGGCGCATGCCGCCATTGTCGCTGCCAGGATGATCAAGGTCGAGAACGTCGCAGATGTCATAATAGATGTGCGCCATGCTTTGGGCGAGCAGACGCTATCCTGGATAGATCTGGATGTAGTCCTCCCGCAGGGAAGTGTCACAAAGCTGGAATCGCGCGAGTCCGGCCAGTTCGAAGACCTCGAAGAAGACCTCATCGAAAAGCGATACGGACAGTACGCGCCCGTCGTAAGGCTGTTCGGAGACGGCGCCTTCCTCCCGACCTCCAAACTCCGCCGCGCACCCTCCAAACCGACCGCCCTCAACCGATCACAATCCTTCTCAAGGAAACAAAAAGAGACTCTCCGACGGGAGATGTGTGAGCTGTTGGACACGGAAGAGAACTATGTCTACAAGCTGGACGAGCTGGTACACACAGTAGCGGTCGAGTTCCGTGAGAAGGCCAAGCAGAAGTCGAGCTCGAGCTCGAGCCCTACCGAACAAGCACTGAGAGGCTTGTTTCCTCCCAGTCTGGACAAGATTCTAGAGGTTAATTCGCAGTTCTTGGACGCTCTACGTATAATTCTGGAAGAGTCGGAGAATGGAGCCATCGAGGACATTGAGACAGCAACAGACGATGTCTACATCGCGCCCTTGCGTGGACAGAAGGACGCACCAGATGTCACTGGAGCGGCCGCCGTTGCCAGGGCTCTTGTTGAGTGGCTTCCACAATTTGCAGATTGCTACACCGACTACATGGCGGCCCACGGCGACTTCTCACAGCTGCTGAAGCATTTCACAAAAGACACAGCCTCCAGTTTCTCCAAGCGAGTCTACGAGACGGGCGAGCAGCGACTCACATCTATGCTCATCGAGCCTGTTCAGCGCCTGCCACGATACAACCTGTACATCGACAACATCATCAAGCAACTGCCCCTCAGGCATCCGGCTATCAGAGTTTTCCTCAAGGCAAGGGACATGATCTCGGATATCTGCACAAGAGAAGGTCCCACGGCGCAGCAGATCAGAGTGTTCGATCGCCTTCGCAAAATGGTGACTTCGTGGCCTTCGGGATTCAGCCCTAAAGGACGAATGATCTCCGCCATTGATTGCGTAGAGCTGTCCCCACCATATCACGGGGAGTTATCTGGACCTGCTACGGTGTCCGGTATCATGGTACTCTTCACGGACTTCTTGGTGCTACTCCAAAAGTCGGAGGATGGTTCCATCAATGCGCGTGGCTTGCTCGCCGAGCTCGACAACCCCAAATTCGCCGAATCGTTTGATGGATCTACGGAACTCATATTTCATCAATACTTGAGTCTCAGTGACGTCTTCCTGAGTGAGCACTCAGAAGGATCAATACTGCAAATGATATCCCCGGTACCGCTCGCCAGCCAGCCCGGACGACCGAGAAGTCGAGAACGCCAGAAGCTTGGCATTCGCATGTTCTACCTGCAAGGCTCCTATGAGGGTAAAGGCCACAAGGTCACCGAGGAGCTCACCAAAGCTCGTGTGGAAGGCAGATTTCCGGAGGCGGAGCGAGAGGGCGGCAAATGGGACGTTCGAAATTTGCCAGGCGATCTCAGTTTCTTTTCATCTATAGCGGAAGAGGCAGCTGGCCAGCAGGTGGAAGGTCGACGCGAGCCTGCGAGAGTGCAGATTCTTGTCGAAGGGTCGAAGTTCACCAAGCCTATTCAGGTCGGCGACAGCGGCGTCGAGCTTACTGTTACCATCTCCATACTTGGCGACGGACTCTATCTGCTGGAGTCAAACGGGGCCTATGGATACACAGCACGCGACAAATTAACAGAGCAAGAATTCCGACCTGTTCTCACAAAGCGCCTCGCCAACTACTTCCAACTGCGGAACAGCGTTAAGAACCACACACTGGCCGAGGCGTATCTGACGCGAAACCAACAGATACTCAAGTCACTCGCTCTGGAGATGTACGAGGCAGAACCACAGACTGGTAGTAAGAGCCGTCCACACTCTCCAGTGAAGATGCTGTCTAGTTTCTTTGGTGGCAGTGTGAGTAGTATTGGCCGCGAAGGAGGAGGCTCTCGTAGACTCCAACGCAATGCGCATACCATGGGAGAGGTACCGCGCATGGCACCTCCGGCTCAACTTGGGCCGAATCGTACGTACAGCCATGACGGGGAGATGTCGCGCCCTACCTCGTCTAGCACCACTAAGAGCGCCACCTTCAACGGCCCGAGCGATCCCTTCTCAAAGCTCGAAGATACCTTGGCAAATCTGACTCTAGCACTGCACGCACGCAAAGGGAACATTGTCGGACGCTCTGTCAGGGCGAGAGCTGTCGCCGATGAACTCGTTGTCAACGAACTCTACAACACGCTATTGGAGAACCCTGCCAATCTTGAACTCGCTGGTCAATCGTCTGTGGATGTACTTTTCGCAGTGTTTGAGAAGTTTTTGAGTGTCGCTTGGAAAGAGCGAATGGGCCCTGTGCTGTCGCACGCCACATTGGTCTCATTACAGATGCGATCAGATAGCATGCCACCTGATGAGTTCGAGGAGTTCTTCAAATACACTTTCGACCAGTTTGCCCCTCCAAACCAACGAGCGTTCCGCGCTGTCATCAATCTGCTAGCCGAATTGCTCGATGGCACCAGCAACGATGGCGATCGAGGCATTCTCACAGCAGCGTTTGCCGAGATGTTAGTGCCTGCTGGTAACGCAAACGACTTCATCTCCCTTATGGATCGCTTGGTGCAAGATATCGACGCCCTGTTTCCAGCCGAGACACCTGGGTTCAGTACTCCAAACTATGGTTCTATGGACTCAAAGAGTCGTTACGCTGCTGCCGGCTCGCTCAACTCCAACACATCACTGCGGAGACGTTTTGGCTTTGGTACCTTGACACGCGAGAACAGCAAGTCAGAGAATGAGTCCAAGGTAGGCTCACTCTGGCGATCATTGAGCAAGAACAGCCATGGCACAGACCTCCAGTCGCCCAGCATGGGGAAGGCTGGTCCCGGGCACCTTGGTCGCTCCAACTCGATAGACGCTGCTGCTCGCCTATCGCCAAAGCGACCGTCCTCTCGCGACCGTCCGACTGTTCTCGGCGCGTTTACGTTTGAGAACGCGAATTCAAACTCGAACTCGAACTCGAACGCGAATGGTCGGTCGTTCGTGGGCAATCTTGGGACAATTGGAGAGGTACCTCCCACTACTGGGCCTCCCCGCAAGAAGCGCCGCTCTTCTTTGAGCGATCTCAAGACGTTGCAGGATGCTGACGATGTACCCGAGTGGTCCCCGCAGACTCCTCGCAAGGTCGATCCTGCCTTGCGCCACGAAACACGCCAGATTAGCGAGTCCCCGCTGGCCCCTTCAGCCGCTACAATGGCTTTACACAAACACACTTCGTCGATACCGACGCCTACCCGACTAGGCTCACCGCTGCGGGTGGAAAGGACAGACAGGAAGGAGAACTCCCCTGCAGTCGGCTTGGATCGTCCAGCACACATTAGGGGAAAATCGGTCACGATGAAGCCAGACGTCGATGATGAAGTCACCATCAAGTCAAACAGCCCTACGAAGAAGCGAAGCGAGACTGTCTCAGGCATTCCCAATCCTCTAAACCTCCCGAACAGCTCGGCCATTCCGAATCTACGACCAACCACCAGTGCTGGTCTGCATGAACGAACGGGATCCGGCAACGCTGTCAAACTGCCACCCTCGACTCCGCGATCTCCGACCAAAGCCAGCACTCCTTTGACTGGGAGCCCTCCCAAGAAGCTGAGAATGCAATCACCTCAAAAGCTGCGCGAGCGACTGCAAACTCAGCAACGCGATATCGACACAGCTTCGCAAGCTTTGCAGAATGAACTGAGTGCCATCGGTCAAGAGCTGAACGCTAGAAGCACGCCGCGTCTGACAACCCAGAGCTCTGCTCCATCGTTGATAACGAATGGGACGGCTGCAAGGACGGCTGAAGCGCGTGTTGCTGCTCTAGAGAAGCTCCGAGCTACACTGGAAACCCTCTCTGCACGTACTTCGGGAATCTCAAACGACGTAACAACTTCACTACAAGTATCGGAGGCTCGATGCAAGCACCTAGATCAGTTGTACCGCGACGTAAACGCGGAGAACGAGGCACTGTACGTGAAATTCAACGAAGAGCTGGAAAGGGTGACAAGCAGCGCTCGCAAGGGAAAGGCTAGCGAAGAGGTGGAACGTCGGTTGAAGACGAGCGAAGAGGAGCTGGCCCGCCTGCGAAAAGAGAACGCAAGACTGAAGAGGGAGAATGCTGGGTTGAAGGCGCAAATCAGAGAGTGAGTAGTCGTCAAGACTGCTCAATCGCCCTGATGCGTGCCAGATGGGGGCACGATGTTGACGAACCTGTAGTTTGCTCAGCGTAATTAATACCGCGGCTGTGAGGTTCGCCCTGCTTCTGGACAGTTTTGCTACGGCGGGTCTGGCATGGGTACAGTACGTAACAATACGTGCTTGCATTGCGGTCGCTTTTCTGACCATATTCCCTGTACTTCTTTTTGTCGAACTCGGGCTGATGGCCCTCGAGCTTTCAGGTTGGAGTGTGGGCGCGAAGGACTGCGTTATGATAACATGACATGGCGTTAGCGAAGCCACCTTTAGAGCAATATACCATCTGCTTTTTCCTTTGCTAAACGTGCTTTCCTCGATGCTGACCTCAGGTGACTTTGACAAGGCAGCAGGGGTGGCTTGAATTCGTGTCGCATGCTCGAGAATGTTATCAAGGTAGAGGTGTACATTGCCTCAGCAACTGCTTACTTATTGAACTATGGTAGTATGGATGCAGCAAACCTTAGAAATGCGACACGGATTCGGGCTACCTCAGGTGAAGGGTCCAACCTGTCTCAGGGTGCAGACGTGGTGACGGTGGCAGAAGAAGGCCAATGGGTTCCCCAGTCGCGCAGCCTCGCCAAGTGGGATAGCAGCCTCAACCCCGCTAGTTTATGCATGTGTTGGCAGGGCTTTGCAGCTACACGGCCGGGGCAGTTATACCGCGGTTATGCAGCTTGGTGGCCTGGTCTGGCCTCTAAGGGAAGGTGCAAAGGTGTCGGTATGCCGTTGCGCTGTGTAGCTCAGGGCGGAAAGGACAACTGGGAGTGTTTCATGGCGTGTGTAGTAGAGCTATTAATGGAGATTGATGTGCTGCCCGGGTGCGCTAGAAACAAAGTCAACGTTTCGCGCTCGATCGGGAGGGTTTCCGCTAAGGCGGAACTGGACGTGGCGGACGACGATCACTGACCGGGCTCGTCGAGCTGGGGATTAGTCTTCGTCATCAGCAGCTTCGATAAAGGCGCAGGGCAATCGCTTGCGTGCATGGCAATTCGCGCATGCTAAGAGACCTCATCCCAGAGCCGGCCGCCAACCTGCCCAGACGTGTCTATCCTGCATCGTCACTGCTTCTCCACCCCGGCCGGAAACCGGATCCGTGGACCGCGCTCACCCAAACCAGCGACGAAACGTCGGCACTCCACAGCGATTGACCCTTTCTCTACCACCCTTTGGAAGCCTCCACGACGGAGAGCGGCAATGACTCTCCATACTCCATCCAGGACCGAGTGCTCCCGCGCCTGCAACCTTCTCCGCCGACCAACAACACAACGCGCGTCCCCATCTCCGCCGCCCTCACCCTCTCGCACGCTGCCGGTTGGCTAATATATACCACCGCCACCATGGCCTGGTTCATGAGAGGCGTCCAGAGTGCCGTCTTCCACTATGCCTCGTGCGCCCCCTGCACCGGCTACTCGGACGGCAGGAAGAGACGGAAAGCAGCAAAGGCTGCGAGGAAAGTGCGGGAGAAGCTGGAACTCGAGCAGCCCGACGCCTACCACCATCCCGAACCCACTGGGACCAATATATACTGGCATGAGGAGATCGTCATGGGCCCAGGACCGCCGCCACGAAGGGCGCGGAGGACCAACACGGGCACTACAGGCAGCACAAGGGGCATGCCAACTCGCGGAACACAGGGCTCGGCTATGAGCAAGGGCGGGAGCAGCATCGATGTCGACCAAGCAGGTGACATGCGCCTGAGCGACGATACCCTCGACGACGATGAGACATGGAACCACAAGCGCTATCAGAGGGAAGACGAGGACCTATGGGGCCACGACGAGCCCTCGATAAACCTCGAGCAGACCATGACAGGCTCGTCAACAGGAGGTGCCGGCTATCAAATACGGAGACCAGGCACTTCAAGATCCGGCAGCTACTACACCGCGCGCGCACCACCCGTCAACGATCTGCACCCTCCTGTCGTCAGTCTCCCCTCTCCCGACCCCCTCGACAACCGATGGATGCTCCAACCTCCACCCAAAGCTAGTGTCATGGCTGGAAAAGAACGAGCAAGAAACAGGAGTCGAAGTGGCAGTGGCGCCAGTAGTCGCGTCGAGTTGAGCTTGGGTCGCCAGGTCAGCACAAGGCACTTGATGAACAAGCTGGAACGAGGCGAGACACCCGAGGCCCGCTCAGCATCGCCCAACGGTTCGTACTTCAACCCATCACGGTGCAGGACCCCACAAGCTCGGCCGCCTTCTGCCACGAGCAGTTCACGCCGAAGACAGAGAAGAGACACCAAGGTCGACCTCGCCATGGCGCGAACCGAGACAGTGAGCACCCAGCACTCATCTGGAGATTCCAGCGACACAATCGTCCGAGGCAATTCCGCACCGCGATCCGCAGTCGTCCCTGACATCAAAGTGATCCGCGTCCGTCAGAGCCGCCCCGCACTCTCCACTGTTCTGTCCAGCAACTCAGGAAGGAATGGCAGCGACGAAAACGCACTCCCGCTTCCCGAGAAGCCCAGTCCAGCCCACCACCGCTATACCACCACGTCGACCCCCGATTCCATCCCTTACTACACCAAACATCGCGAACCTCTCAACTCGTCCGACATTTCCTCCCTAAACTGCCTCCAAGACCTCGTGTCCCCACGCGCCCTACTCAACTCGCGCTTCGTCTCCGCACCACTCGTCGAAGCCAAGATCCGCCTACCGCCTTCAGAAGAAGACATGGCAGCAAGGGCGCGACGCGATATGTCCGACAGTGGCTTCAGCCTATCGCGAGACTGGGACGAGGAGGAAGAAGGCATCGTAAATGTTCCCTTTGATCGAAACTTCGGACCACCGGAGAGGGATCCTCGGTTTAGATGGAGTGTCGACTTTTGAGCGCATCTCTACCGCCTTCACCACACACACACGCTTCACTTCTCCACGCGCGCATCTTCAGCGTTGGCATCTTATTGCATTGCATTGCATAGCCGATTTCTCCAACTGTTTTTCTTTCCCTTTGTTATCAGCGATGATTTTGTTCCGCAAAGCGAAAATTGCATACTCGCATTTTGGATAGACACGAACTTTGACGACCTCCACCAAATGGCGTTTTGGGCGGGTCCTGATGGATTCAGGCATCGTTTGCTTATTTTCTTGGGTGCTGGCTTCTAGCATTGTCACCTGTTCGCTTCTTCATGGTTTGGGTTTTGTATATATCGCTGCATTAGATATATGACTATTCGAGAGTGAGCTCCAGGAAGAGCTTCATTTTACACCTTAAATATTTGTTCTCCATTGGTGCATACATCGCTCAGACATCATTCTCACCGACACCGTGTGTGAACTGACTTGAGGTAATTGCTTGCTTGCTTGCTTTGCTTTCTAACATCGCTTCAAAAATAATGCACACGCATACTACATGATTTCCCGCTCCATTCGATATCTTACAACCCCGCGTAAACATGATCTATCGGGCGCCCAAATCCCACAACCTGAGCGTCTCGCCCTTTCCGCCCCTCTTCTTGTTGCCCTTCTCCTTACCACCCTCGGTCAACTTCAACATACATTTCGATACAGCCGCTAAGCACTCCAGTACTTCGCTCATCCTGCCTGTCTCTAGCAGACACCTTTGCACCCACTCGTTACTCCTATCCGCTACTACAACAGCTACCTCCATAGCCTTGATCGCGGGGTCCTTGTTCAGGAACCAGGCTGCCGCTTGCAGGACTGAGAGGTATGCGAGAATCATGTCTGGTATATAGGCCTTCATCAACTCCCAGGTCTTACTTGTGAGGTATTCAGGATCCGCGGCGGAGGCATCGGAGATGGCGGGGATGAGGGTGTCGAAGACGTTTGATATCGAGTCTAGGAGCGCTCTCGTGCGTTGGATATCGGGCTTGTGTTTCGCAGAGGCCCCGTCCTTCTTACGTTCGGCGCGGATTCTGTAGCGGGTGTTAGTTGGTGTGCTTAGAAGAGGGAAGAGAGAATTGACTGACTGGATGAGTGTCTGCTCCTCTTCACGCCATTCACGGAAGAGGACCAGTAAGCGCACAATTTGCTGAAGTGTGTAGTATGAAGTGCTACTCTGGCGCATGGCGTTCACCGTCCTCCTGTGCCGGTCTGCGCTGGGCAGTTTAGCCATGGGAATAGCGGCAGCTCGGTCAGCAGTAGACAGGCTGTCACGGTGTTCATGCAGTCGCTGCTCATCCTGCTCCTCTGCTCCTGGCATTGTGAAATCAAAGGGGTAGCCGAGCAGGGCTTCTGTCCTGGACAAAGACAGAGTCTCGACGCTTAGATCGCCAATGACCTTCTCAGAGGCGGCAAGTCGACCATTGACTGAATGATATGTCAGCAGGTTTTAGTTTGTGCATGTTAGACGTGACTTACGAAGGAAGATGATCAGCGCGCTCTGCAAGTGTGCAAACGTCTTCTCGAAATCCTTTGCGACATAGCTGTACCATTGCACCGAATCGATAACAACCTCGTCTTGTGGGCTTATTTCAGCACGGTCGAATGTGCGCTTGACACGCACGCCTGGCCATAGCAGCTGCTCGGTCGGAAGTGTAATCTTCTCCAATATGTTAAATCGCCTGATAGGGTTGGTGATAACGCCATAGCCATCGTTGGTGAAGTGCGTAAATCCACTATCCCGCGAAGCAAACGTGAAGCTCTGCGAAATGACTTGGACAACATCAATCCGGTATGACTCCATCAGCGCAACGGAGTGTCGTTGCTCAGAGCTGTTCTTGATATCGGGAAGCACGCGCGCAAGGCTGTAGGCTGCTCGTTCGGGGATGAGTTGCGCGGCGTATAGTGGTATAGTATCGAATCGTTTGGTGAGGCGCAAGAATTCGATATAAGCTGCGATGACATTGTCCATGGCTAAAAATTTCTTGTCCTGGTGTGTATCCTCGAAAAGCGTGTGTAATCCGTTACGAAGGACAATGAAGATGTGGACAATAATGCGGAAAGCGTGTGGATCTTTCGCAAAGGCCTGGTAATATGGCTCTGCATGGTATGTGCGATGGTCGCCGGCGGGTATGGGGCTTCGGTCCTCTTCTGGTGAGTCTGGGTGTATGATGAGACTGTGAGGTCGCTCGTCCTTGTCGAACATGTCTGCAATAGCCACACCGACCTTCAGCATCAGATCGTCAGCGTCTCTGCCAATTAGCGCGCTCTGGATGAGTTTGATCGGGGAGACCGCTTGCGCTGTCGTGCTCTTCTGCTGCTTGAGAAGGCTCATCACCTTTTCCGGTGATTTCTCCCACTCTCCGATATTGGCGACGGCGTCCTGGAACAGAAACTTCTGAGTCATGCTCTCTGTCACTCGATTCGGGTGCTTCTTCTGGAGATATGAGTCGAATCGCGAGAGAAGAAGTGCGTTGTAGTGCGCATATAGATGGTCGTCCCAAGACCTGCAGACCGTCTGTACTTGCTTCAAGTCTCCACTCAATAGCCCATATACAGCGCCTTCGTATGGTATCCGAGCCCCTCTTGCGGCGTAGAAGGCCATGCGGCGGAACAGATAGCCAACCGTCGGTCCAGCGACATTCGGGCCACCTTCAGGATGGCCCTCGTACGCAGCTCCAATGCTAACACCGCGCCACGACTCGTTTCGCTCATAGCACCAGTCGACGATTGTCTTCCAGGGGAGTCCCCGTCGCATCATTTCGTATGCGACCATCCAGAGAGAGCGCTCATAGTACTCATCGCTCCGTTCGAGTGCGCGCTTCTGCCTAGAAGGAGCGTCCGGGTCCAGTTGGGTAACGAGATTCGCAGTCCTGTCTGAGGTCTTGAGATTCGAGTTGATCGGCTTCAGAGGTTGGTCTATGTCGTCCATGCGCTTCGCCTGCTTGATCTTTGTCTTCGTCTCTAACCATCCGCTGGTCCATGTGTGCGCGCCCTTTCCGGAGTGTTCCTCGAGCCCTGTAATAATCGCCTTGACATCGCTGTCACTGTCGCGCGCTGTTTGTTCTAGCCAGCGAAGAACAAGTGCCTTCTCTTTCGCCTGGTCGTCCTCCAGCAGAAAGCGATCCCAGATCTCACTATTCTTGCAGTATCTCGCAGTTCCCCCAACCTCTTCCAGTTGCGCTTGCTTCTCCGCAGCCGAATCGGTACCAGGCTCGGGGTTGTAATGTTCGATGACCAGCTTCAACAATTTCCATGTCGCAAGCTCAGCCTGCCATTCCCGTAATTCTCGAACGTTCGCGGAGACGGAGGCGGCGCTGGGTTCGATGGATGAAATGACAGATTGGGACGACTGGCCGAACAGACTCTGGCCTGGGTTGTCTGATGCATCTGCCATAGTCTGTATTTGTCGACGAACAGTCTTGCTGAGGCTTCCCTTGTTCTCCGCTTCGGTCGTTCGCTTCAACTCCTTCACGTGTGATTCCGCAACGTCTTGGAACTTGCCGACCAGCTTGACCGTGGTCTGGTATTTGGCTTTCTTCGATTCGTTTCCATGGACATGCCAGTGGTCTACTCGCTCAGCGAACTTCTCCACCTCTTTCCCTACACGTTCGGCCATTGCGCGCAGCGGTTGTAGCGGATCGTTGGGTTTGGCGCCGTTCGCCGCTCGGGATGTTCCGAAAAGGAGCGCATTGTTGTTGTTGGACTGGATAAAGTGTCAACCCCCATTGAAACGGAGTTGGAGGTGTCTCGGGAGACAGCAGGATCTCTCTGATGACTTACCTGAGCTGCAGTCGGCTGCGACTGACGCGATAATGATCGTGAAGCCATGGCGGGTTGGAAGAGTATGAATCCGGAATGGCGGGAAGAAGTCGATGAGACAGTCTCAGTGGTACTTGATCAGACGCGCCCCAATGACGTGTTGGGAGCTGCGATGCTCGTGGTTGACTGCCCCAAGCCCATCACAAAACACAAGTCGCGCGCCGACGGTCCCTGCCCTTAGCGCGTCGCCAAGCTTCGGCGCGCTAGTGAACATAAAACTCAAAATCTGCCCTTACCCAGAGTCTCTCGGCACAATGTTTTCACAGGACGGCGCCTTTAGAGTCTCGTCAGGAATCTTCAGTTTCTCATGACGCGCTCGTGCTGTCCTAGATCAATGCGCTTTCTGGTAACCTGGCTGGACTCCCAAGTGGGGAATGACAGTGCGGATGATATAGGAAGTGATACATCTTTCAAGCTAACGACCCATTGCTCGAATGGCATGCGAATGTCTTAGGCACCATATTCGTCTGATCCTCTCGGCTCATACATCTCGATGCGCCAGCCTCGCGAAGGGCCCCTTTCCATGAATGTACTCTGGCAAAAATGCATACCCATGATGTTCGCTGTAGCTGGTGTTCCAATATGCATGAGCCAGACGACAGCGGATACCATGTGGACGCGATGCTACGTACCGTGGACTTCAGAGAAACCGTGCTGCGTCGTGACACTGCTAGTGACACGAAACTTTTGCATGGAGAGGCCGAGGATCCAGTGTCAATCGCAGAAAGAAGCTCCAGGCGTTTTGATTTGTTATGTTACACGACTATAATTACACGGGATATGAATACAACTGTTTGCTAGAGGCTATGATATCCCTTTCGCACGCTGCTCCATCTTGAGTCTAAGGTGTCGTTAGAACTGCTGATGAGTTGAACGGATCTCGAGACTCACTTAAGGAGGGTATATTTCGGACAGCTCACTGTGCTAGCATTCTCTCCTTGCTCTTTGTAGAAGGCGTTGCAGCACTCGTATAGCGCATCAACCTGGTCTTGGTCAGGCTGCGTTCAAAGTCGTTCTGTGTTCAATGGCTCCCCTGTGAGACATGGATGCATACCTCTTTTCTGCACTTCTCCTCGTTGTAATTGTTCTTCTGTATGCAGTCTACCACTTAGCTCAGTATGATACAAGTTGACTAGATACACACTTTGAATTGCACATGCTCTAGG